CTGGGTCACTGTGGCCATAGCCGAAGTAAAACATGTGACACTGGGTCACTGTGGCCGTAGCCGAAGTAAAACATGTGACACTGGGTCACTGTGGCCGTAGCCGAAGTAAAACATGTGACACTGGGTCACTGTGGCCGTAGCCGAAGTGAAGTAGCTAACAATTATAATTGTAAAAGTAAACAGAAGTGCTGAGCTAGACTGAAGCATAAAGACAGAATAAAATATAACAAAATATAAACAAAGAAGTAAAATTGGCCAAGGCCATAATAAAATATAATGACTATGGTCATAATGCTCGTAGCCGAAGTAAAGTGTGTGATATTGGATCACCGTGGCCAAAGCTGATGTGAAATGTAATGCAGCATCAGTGGTTGAAGCCGAGGTGAAACACTTTGCAAAAGTGAATGGAGGTGTTAAAATGGTTGTAGGTGGGCCTGTGTAAAAATACTGACATAGGTATGACAGTTGTCCTTTGAATGACGTGCGCAATAAATGCGGCCGTAAAAAGGTAACTGCAACCGTTAAACGGGCAAAAAGTTAAAAAACGAACCGTCTAATTCAAAACGGTATCGTTTAAGGTTGCCCGTTGAATTCCAAACGGTGTCAACAGGGACCGTAAGATCAAACGAATCTCAGCCGTCGAGATCTAATTTCGCCCAGAGGTATAAATAGGCATTTTTTCTGCAGAAAAAGGTTTACTTACATTTCTTTTCCTGCAAAACTTTTGCGAGACGCTTCATCGTTCATCTTCTGTTTGTGAACTGTGGTAACAACTGGGGATCTCTACATCAAATCTCTCAAAACCGAAATCAGGTACTGTACCCAAACTTCTGATTTTTGAGTTAATCGAAGCGTTTCTCTCCTTTCTTCCTTTCTGTGGTTGGTTTAGAATCCTCTGGAGGAAGTTAGGGTTAGAGACGAGAGGGATTTGAATGTGCAACAAAAATGGGGGTTGTGGGTTTGTTTTGTTTTTTTGTTTTTTTTTTTGTTTTTTTTTTTAAAGATCCTGACCTATTCCTCCCCCCTACTTCGTGTAGAGTTTGAGAAAATGTCGTCAGAAAGATCAGAAAGTGTAGTAGGGAGTGAGGTGGAACCCTTGGACTACGGGAGGATGGACACAGAGAGTAGTCCATCTCCCACTGGTTCGGAGGAGACAGTAGAGGGGGTGAGAGGGGATGAAGTGATGGAGGTTGGTGGGGATGAGGTGGCGGAGGTTGGGAGGGATGAGGTGGTGGGGGTTGGGGTAGATAGCATACCCATCACCGTAGTAGAAGTAGAAAGTAATGGGGAGAGAGGTTATGATAGAAACGCAGATATAGTGGAGGAAGTGAAGCAGTACCGTTCTGAACTAAGGACCAGGGATGACCTGTGTCACTTAGTAGAAACATACGAGATCTCTTCTCGGGTGTTAGTTAGGCCAGCTGGGGTAGAGGAGAGGGCATGTTCTGCTCCTCGGGATCACTGGATGCCTGTGTATTCCCACTACTTGTTAGCGGGGCTCAGGTTTCCACTTCCTGAGTTGCTAATAGGGTTGCTATTAGATTACAATATAGGGTTGACACAGTTGGTCCCCAACGCAATGAGAGTAATAATAGGTTTTTTAGTTTATTGCCGAGCTCAGGGGATCAATGTGCCAACTGTAAATATGTTTAAGTATTTTTTTGTGTTAAAGGGGGGTAGCAGGAGAGACAAGGGGTGGTATTA